ACGGGGGGCTCAGAGAGCTTCCAGGGGGTACACACATGGAGGTACTGGGAGGCTGAGTACCCGAGGGGGCATGGAAGCTCCATGCTCATCCCCTACATACCTTGCCTTATACATCTCTTCATCTGGCTGCTCCTGAGTTGTGTCCTTTATAATAAGTTGGTAAGTAAAGCACTTTCCTGAGTTCTGTGAGTTGTCATCATTAATTATCAAATCTAAGGAGAGGCTGTGGGGACGCCCTGAGTTTATAGCCAGGGGGTCAGAAGTACTGGTGACAAACTGGGACCTGAAGTGGGGGCCATCCCCTGAGACTGAGCCTAAACCTGTGGGATCTGACACTAACTCCAGGTAGTGTCAGAATTGAGCTGGTGTCTGAGAGTCAGGAAGTGGCATTGGAAATGATTTAAGAAGTCAGAGGTGTGTATAAAGAGAAAAAAATAACAGTGACTTCCTAACTCCTTCCCAGTCTCCTCCTTAATATAGTCAATGTTAATAGTTGGTATGCAATCTTCTAAAATTTGTGCTTAAATAAACATACAAAATATAGAGACACACCTATAGGAGTTTTCCCTTGTTATAAATGAAAAAGGAAAATGCCCATTTCTTAATGAGAGCAGTTTACTTGCTCTCTCTCACTCTCTTCTCCCCATTGAAATTTTCTAAACTATGTTCTAGAGTAGGGGTGGGGAACTTTTTTTTGCCAAGGGCCATTTGGGTATTTATTACATCATTTGCAGGCCATACAAAATTATCAACTTAAAAATTAGCCTGCTGCATTTAGTCAAATGTTTAGTTAACTCACCCCAAATGATTTTGCAGGCCTTATATAGTCCTTGGGCTGGACGTTCCCCACCCCTGTTGTAGAACCTCAACTTTTATAATCAAAATGGACTATCAAGATATTTTGTTAAACAAAAGACCACCAGGAAATTATGCCACCTCTCCATGAGAAGTGGGTGTTGTCAGTTGTGATCTTAAATAAGATATTTTCCCACTCCACTATACACTTACCATCTGTAACACACCTTTAGCGCACGCTTATCATACGTCCCATTTCGGATCTCCTGGTTTTAATCTCTAACTAGAATCAAAGTCTGTAGAATTCTCATAACTTCCCTTGACCTCTATTCAGATCTAGCTTAGAACAAGAAAGAGCTCAATAAAGTACTTTTTGTCCTTTGGTTCTGTAATTGATGGAAGCTGCCTGAGTTTGGAAACCTTCTTCATCGAAGTGCCTTTGTATCGGCATACCCTTCCCAAGGGGGTCATGTCGGAAGACTGTCCCCTCAAGAGCAATGACTATTGCAGGCATCCCTGAAGAATTAAGAAAAGACACTGCGTACTATCATGAATGCCCATGATCTCATGGAGGAGAAAAGAAAAATGAAGCAGGACGGGGAAATGGTACGTACGGGTGGCCACCTTGGCAGTGATGGGAAGGCTGAGGATGTTGCTAATGACAGCATAGACGCTGATGTTGTAGGTGAGACCTGGCTCCAGCTCTGTGATGGTGACACCACGCCAATCTCCAGGCACCCGCTGCTGGAGCTGGAGGCCCCCCAGGGCCGTCGGCTGGTAAGAGATCACATATTCCGTCACTGCCATCGGCCCGTCCCATTCCAGCTCAATGGACCTGTCGCTGATACCAGCCACTCGCAAGTCCTCTGGAGGGGCAGCTACCGGGAGGCAATACACAGATAGCATGAGCTCAGAGGACTGCCTTCTCCATCCTCGACTCACCTTTCTCCCTCACATCTCACCCCAGGTGCCCTTTTTCAATGTTCTGCTCAGCTCAATGGCTGGGTGATTTCTAATGCCCTTTGTGGGCAGGTTCTTGACTTTCTGTGCTTAGTTTTCCCACCTCCATGGGGCCCTGAGTCAGTGGTGTGCTGGAATCAGCTCCTACTGACTCCTGAAAGTTGATGGTCAAATTCTCCCGAATTTTGCAAGACAGTTGTTAAATAGAGCCATTGTGAATGATTAAATATAAACTCAGAATTAAGTAAATTATATTACAAACAAAGGTAATAAATACTCAAAATTCATCAGTTTCAAATTATTTTGCTACATTTTACTATTTTCTATGCCCCTGAGGCAATGTACATGTGTTGTGTCTCTCTGGTGGCAATGCTATATAATTGTATTCTACTGCACAGCTATTGCCAACTCCATGTGTAGTGATGTCATGTTGGTAGTTTGAAATTGGCCACAGAGGGAGTATTTACACCATGGAAATTGGCAAATGCTATAAAGCAAGAACTTTCATTTTTTTCTTCAGTTATTAGATACTTAACAGCATACCAGTGACCAAAATTTTTGATAGTTTAATAAGTTGTCACCAAATTACCCTAGAAGACAATATTTGATTTTGCAAGTAGAAATAAAGGCTTATTCCTGGTTATTTTGTAGACAATAAGAAGCCCAAACAGTAAGTCCTGGATACCATGGACAGTTAAAGACATACAATAATGCTTTATTGTATCATTTTCTCTGCTAAAAAGATACTTTAAGTTTTGAAAGAAATGTAACTTAAGCTAATTTTTATTAGCCTTGATCTTGGGGATAATGATAAAGAAGCATTCTTGAGGGCTTTGCTTTTCTCTCTTGTTCAAATGCTAATCAAAGAATCACCAAAGATTAAACCTCCTAGAAATAGCCTTTCATGTATGGTTCTCTTAGGAAATAGAGATTCACCAGGAATGTGGTATTAAATAATTGAACCTTTAAGACCAATTAGGAGGCTAATTCTAGTGTGCCTGCAGTTGGTGCTTATAGATGAAATCAAAGATCGGGCCAATATTTAAATAGTCATAATTAACGTATAAGTTTATATGTAATGGAAGCTTCGGTTAGTTTAAAAGTTGTCATTGGTTTTGAATTTCTCCTCCAAGAATTCTCATTTTTTTCTTTTTTACCATATAAGAATGTAGGACTGAGCCGGCTACTGTACACAGAATTTGTGTGTGGAACGTGGCTGCTCCACCTCCCCTCCCCGCCCCGCCGTTGTGCTCACATGTGCACCCTCAAATTCTCGGTAGTGGCCGACAAGAGCCGCCCAGACTCTTAGGATGGACATTAGGACCACATATTTGCAATGTTGAGTATCTGCTTTGATTGCTTTTGCCCCAAACTGTTCATTGTGTGAAAGAGTCTAAGCAACAGAGCTTCCTCCGACTAAAGATGGCTAATGTTGACCAAAACAAAACATTAAAAATTTATTCTTTCAATGTATAAAACTAAATGTAAATGAAATTTAAATAGACTTTCAAATGATAATTGATAATAAGCTCATATCATTTCTAATTCTGACATTACTGAAGTTTAAACTGCACTAAGAACATTGGGTATAGTGCCTACAGAATAACGCCTGGACCAAGGGGGAATAAAAGAATTGATCTATAGAACCTCTGAGTAGTTTGCATGACTATAGTAAGCATTTATTATGCATCAGGAACGATGCTAAATCCTCTCACCAACACTGTGGGACATGTATCATTATTACCCCTATTTTATAGATGAGAAACAAAACTGTCAGCAGACACAGAAGCTATGGTTTGAACCAGGCAGAATGGGTCTAAGCTCTCACCCAGTAAACAACACCCCTTTGAGGCGGCATAGCATTTCACAGTCTATAACAGCGCTTGCCAACTGGTGGTCTGCGGACCACTAGTGGTCCGTGAGGTCCGAAAGGTTGGCGACCGCTGGTTTAAGGAAACCTTTCTGACCCTATAAAACATGTTCAGACACACATTCTAATTAGAATTTTTAAAAATCTGTCCATAGCAGCCCAAGTGAAGCAGATCGTGTAGCTATAATGATCCCAGCCTTATAGATGGAGAAACTAAGGCCCGGGTTAAGGGACTTGCCAAAAGCCCAGGAGGTGGGTTACAGAAGAATTGATTCTCAAATCCAGATCATCTACACTGAGTGTTCCTTCCCTGCCAGTTTGTAGACCGGGTCACGGTGGCGTCGGATGTCTTCTTTCACGTATACACAGCCCTCCAACGGAAAACCAGGTTGGAGAATAATTCAGACTGTCCTTTAGCAGGTGAATTCCAGGCTGCTTATCGTAGCAACTTCTTTTAAAAATGGGTCTCGAGTGCCTGCGGCCCGTGAGTCACACCGATTCCAGGCTTCCTCTGCGGGACGTCCCCTGCCACAGTGACAGGAATGGCCCTTCCGAATTTCCCGTCACCAGCAGCTCTTGGGGCATTTGGGACAAGTCAGTATTCCTTTCTGGTTCCTTCTTCCCGAAAAGAAAGCTACAGAGGATGCCAACAGAGGATGATCCCAGATGAGCATTTGGGGATTTTAAAGTAAAAATGAGGTGCGGAAGGATTTTTTATCTTGGTAACTTCACCTGGCAAGGTTTTATTGTGGGACACGAGGCTGGTGGTAGGCACTGCTTCTCCTTCTGATGAGATGGTCCCCACTTGCCTTGAAACTGGCAGGAGCTGTGTGCACTGGGGGTCAGTAATGCCTATGAAATGAAATGGGACTGAACTTAAAGCAAACTATAAAGGAACCATGTGCCTTGATGCTGTGAATTTAGGGTGCAAAGCAGTGTCTTACTTTCTGGGGTTCCAACCTTGAAACCTTGGGAAGAGAGGGTGATTAAAAGGGAATAAATTGGGCCCAACTGGTTTGGCTCAGTAGATAGAGCGTCAACCTGTGGACTGAAGGGCCCAGGGTTCCATTCTGTGTCTCTATCACATCAATGTTTTTCTGTCTCTCCCCCTCCCTTCTACTCTCTCTCTAAATATCATTGGGAAAATATCCCTGGGTGAGGATTAACAACAACAAAAAAATGGAAAAAAACTGGTGTGAGGCATGGAGTTGCATATCTGCAAAGATGCCATGCTGTTTCCCTTGTAGATTTGCATCAATGTTGCACCTAGATTAGTTGTGTGAAGTGTTTTGCTCCAACGAATGAGTAATTTCAGGTGCCAAAGGCAGGGCTGGCTGGGGTGCAAGCAGAGGCAGAGGCAGAGGCTGACGTTGATGAATCCCCATGGGTCTGACGGAGGAAGTCCGGGGACCCTGCTCTGCTGGTTCTTTCATCCTGTTCACGCATTGGCCAGCTCTCGCATTAACCTGCTGCACTGGGGGAGGTGTGAACAGTTGGTTCCAACATCTGATTTCTTTTTATCATTTGACAGAACTTGGCTTTCATATCAAGAGACTATTTCTTTGTATATGTGGCTTTTCACATTTTTATTTTTCAATTCCTCTCTACTCAGCATTCCGGAGAGGATTAAAGAGTGCTAGAAGGTGGTCGGTGACCAGGGTTCTCATTCTCGCCCTGCCATCCATTAGCTGTCTGGCCCTGCAAGAATCTCTGTCTCTCTGAACTGCTGCTTTTTAAATCTGGGGAATGAGGAGCCCAGAGCAGCTTCTTTCTGAGGCCTGTTTTAAGTGCTCCTATTCATGAATTTACTGTGCCATATCTTCACGTGGCCAGAGAACAGGCAGGATGGTTGTGATTTCGCCTCATGGCCCACTACGAGCAAAGACCAAGGCTGGGAGTCCAGTACGGTGTCCTCACCAACTCTCAATTGCATTCAGCCTCTAGCAGCTCAGGGCCTCAGAATGAAACCCACAGCAGGCAGGCGGGCTTCCTGCACCCTGGCAGAGTGGGAAGAGTGGCCTGCAAGGACGTTGGTTTTGTGGTTCTCCATGTTTTCACCTCCTCGTGCCTGTGGGCGAAGGCGGCAGTGACGCTGTAGTGTGTGCGCCTGGCCAGAGATGACCAACAGAGGATAACTACCCCCTCTCCCGCATGAGCCAGCAAAGCAGCACTTTAGACAATGCCCTTCATGGTCTCTGGCAGAGACCCGGGCGTTTGGTTTAAAAGGCATCGAGAGCAGTCCCTCCTACAGCGAGCGATGGCTCGGGTTGCTATAGAAACAGATGGAGATGATGTAACTGTCCCTCCTCACATGCTTTGGGAACCTGTGAAGTAATTTATCTGGGCCTTCAGAAATGATCCTCCAACAGCCAGAGAGGATGTGTTGGAGGTCACATGGGCTCAGGGTTTGGACTCCACCCAGTTGAGCAGGAGCTACTAACAGCTGTGGCGCCTTCCCTGAATGGCCGGGAGGGCTCCAGTTCGGTTTGGACCCTGGATCAGATTTAAGATTCTGTCTACAAGGGGACCTGTCCCTGTAGAACATGACAGGTATGTACAGTCCCACACAGAGCCATTCCATTCAGAAGCACGTGGACTAGAGGGTAGCCATACGGAGCAGTGGCCCCAGCTGATCTTTCGCATCCTCAGATGGGGCCCAGGGAGCCTCACCCTGTGGGTGGGAATCGGGACCACGTGTCAGCCTCCCTTCCCCAGCAAACACCTAGTGATTTCAGATCTAGAAACAGCGAGGCTTCTCTTCTGCTTAAATTTTCTTTCATAACAGTTGGTAGAACTAAGTATACTTTTAAAAAGATATTTCAATTCAGAAAATAAACCAGGAGGCTAAATGAAATTATTGAATATGGAAAAAAGTGAAGGAACATGAAAATATTTTTTCCTAAGCAGTACATTATTATTTGCTCACTCGTGGGTTTTTTGTTGTTGTTGTTGTTGTTGTTGTTATTGCCAATGAACTTTGATAGAATTTAAGTTGAAGTCACAGTGCAGGAGCCTGGTGTGGCTGGCCTGCTCTCTCGGGGAGTCACTGAGGATGCTGAAGAAGTAAAGGCTTCCAGCATTCCTCCCATAAACTGACATCAGAGCGCTGATCGGAAAATTCCCAGAATCACCCCATCAGGAGGGTTAAAAATGTTTGTTTGTTATTTTTTTAAATTGCATTTTAAATCCCCCTCATGGGCACTCCAGCCCACTGTTACAAATTGAAGTGCAGATGAAACGGATCAAGGTCAATCCCTTAATCTGGGCTATTTAGACACACACATTTAGTCAGCAGATGAGCAATAATAGTGAGATGATAAAAATAATCTGATTTTAGGCAAAAAAGTCATCTCCAGTGAGATGCTGGTACTCTTCCCACCACAGGATTTCCTTCCTGGTTTTAGGACACCTCTGTACGGTGTCCGTGCTGTAGACCCCAGATGGGCTTGGTTCCAATTTGCTGCATGTCATCTGGAACAGCGTGAGTCACGGCCTTCTAACATTTTGCACTGATTGTCAGAACGTGAGCTGCTGCTTGATGCCTTGGCTGCTTTATTCCTGTTTGCATTTCATTCCTTACCTACAAACACTTTTTTTTCCATGTGGACACTAGACCATTTCATAAACTAACACTGAGTAATATAGGCTCCAAAATCACAGGCTAACCCCCATCTCAAGTGGTGGTTGAGACTTGTCCTGGGACATGGCGGTGAGCAAGGGGGATATTCTGGACGCCCTCTGAGTCAGAGCGGCCTTGCCCAAGGTGGTCCCCTGGCCCGTCTCTCCCCTTCCCTCCACTCAGGGACAGTGGGAAGCTGTCGCTGTTGCTGTTGCCTTTGTTCAGTCTGAGCGTAAGATCCAACTTTCAGCATGAACCTGACCTTTTCAGGTCCCCCCCCCCCTTAAGTCTGCCCCATCCACTGTGATTGACGAAGAAACCAGCTCCCTTGGAAAGCAAGCGAGCACAACCCAAGGGGGAATCATTTTGCCTAAAATCCACCTTCCTTCCCATCTCTCTTCCCCTCTCCAGTGAGTCTGCTGGGCCACCCACGCCAACGCCCAGGAGCACCCCTTCCTACCTGCCGAGCAGTCGGGGCCCTGGTAGCCCTCTTCGCAGAAGCAGAGTCCCTCCTGGCAGTGTCCTCGCCCGCTGCAGGCGTTCAGACAGTGCCGCTGGCCACAGTCCTCGCCCACATAGCCCTCCTGGCACACACAGGTCCCGTTGGCACAGTTCCCCTTCCCGGAGCAGTCCCCGGGGCACCTCAGCTCGCTGCAGTCCTCGCCAGTGTAGGGCTCCTCACAGACACACTCCCCGTCCACACAGAGCCCCCGGGAGCTGCAGTCAGTGCGGCACCGGAGTTCGGAGCAGTCCTCACCGCTGTATTCGCTGTCACAAATGCACTGGCCATCCACGCACACGCCCCGGCTGGAGCAGCCCAGGGGGCAGGAGGGCTCTGAGCAGTTCTTGCCAAACCAGCCTTCATTGCAGATGCAGCCACAGGACTCGAGGCTAAAGTTGCCGTGGCCACTGCAGTGAGGGAGGTAGTCCAGTTGTCCTGGAAAGGTCAAGGAGAAGGTCAAAGGGAGGCAGTGGCACCCCCTGAAAATGGTGCCTGGGGCGGGGTGGGCAGAGACCTCTTCTCCCTCTCTGATCAATGTATGTCACTGAGAGTTCATTTCAACCCATATAATCAATTTCATAAATATATTCCCCAGTGGGTTGTCTGTGCCTAGCATGGCGCTGGGATAAGGATGAGTGAGATCTGGTCCCTGTACATCAGGAGCTCAGTTTTGAGGTGTCTCAGCTTCCATTCCTGAGGAAGAGGCCTTAGATGAAGATTCAAGTGAAAGTGACTTATTAGAAAGTGGTCCCCAAAAATCTGGTTGGGGAAAGGGGAAGTTTGGGGAGGGAAGGAGCCCCAGCCAGGTACATTGTGGGCCAAGTCCAGGGAAGGTAACTGGGGGTTAGTCTTGCAGGATGCTCGGGTCACAGTGCAGGTTACCCCTCATCATGGGTTAAGGGCTGTCCCTGGGGGTGTAAAGGCTCAGGCTCCTCCATTCTCTCTCTGGGCAAGCCAAGGAGGGTCCCACAGCCCAAGGACAGCCCCTGACAAAGATGCCCAGGTGCTCTGGGGACTGAAGGGGTTCCCAGGGCATGTAGGCTGAGCACTGGGCTTGCTATGCAGGGCAAGGCCGTATGTGCCACGGACTTGCCCTACTCCCTCTGCTTCCTGCCCTCACACTCACTCTGCTCATGCATCAGCCCTTGGCTCCAAGGTCAGTTCAAAGGCCTCCCTCAACCTCAGTCTCCTGCAGTCACTGTTTGCTATGATCCTTTTAGGATTCTGTGCGCATCTCTGTCCTAGCCCTTACCACGCTAGAAGCACAGTGGCTAATTTATCTGGCTAACATGAATCACACAAACTTATCAAACAAACACAAGCCCAGCACCGGCGTGGCATCCTTCTCTGCACTTGGCCTTGGAGATCTGAAGTGCAGTAAGTTATATCTTGTTTAATCCTGTCACTTCAGTCACCCTCACGGCCTGAACGGATAGCACACTGACATTGCTGAACACAGGCTCGCTTGTAGATTTCCCCACTTCTGCCAGGGAGCCTGGTGGGAGGCGGGGGAAAAGCCACTCAGAAAGCCGCCCAGCTTCCCGGGCAGCAAAGAGCCCATGTTCATGGACACCTATGATTTCCCCGTGTTCTGGCTCCATGGATAACCGACCTGACAGTTCTCACTGAGGGATGGGAGACTGGGCAACTGGACTTGCTTCTCTTCTTCAGACTGTTTTATTTACGGTTTTGGTTGGGGAGAGGAGGTGGTGAGAAAACCATGGCACCTCACTACTCAAAGACTGCCCACACTCATGTCCGTGTGCCTCAAGACACGTGGGCCATACGGGTCACTACTGCCTTCATCCCTACGAGAGCCTGGAGATATGAGACGTGAAAGCTGGAACCCAAGCTAGTGAGACAGATTCCTGCTCTCACCAAAGGATGAATGGCAGGATGGCAGGACTCTACGGGGCCTTTGGGTGAGAGGAGATGTGCACACAAGGCAGCAAACAGCTGCTGCTCAGGCAGGTCAGCGGGCAATAGCTCATGCTCCTGTGGGCTCACGAGGAGCCAGGCTTTCACCTGAGCGGATGCTTGTATCTTAATGCTCCTTGCCGTTCTGCTCTATCCCCATTTGTCGACAGGGAACGAAAGGCACAGGTCATGGGACTTGCTTAAGGATTAAGCTAGTAAATAGCAGAGTCCAGATTTGAACTCAGGGAGTCAGACTCTGAAAACCTAATGACCTATCAGAGAGGCACAGACAGTAACTCCTAAGTGTTACTTTCAGCGGGTGAGTGAGGCTGGAGTTACCTCTCCCGGACATTCAGCCTTTGGAAGGGGTGCAGAATAAGCAATGTGTGTGTGTGTGCGTGTGTGTGCATGTGTGTGTATGTGTGAGCAGGTGTGTGCACACGTGCGTGCCGGTGGAGGGGGCAGGGGCCAGAACTTCCATCTTGCTGGAGAGGACGGGGATGGGTCCTGGGAGACCTTGATGACTATCATTTACTCAGATGGGAGAAAGGCTGCGACTGAGTGAACATGCGCCTGCATTCTCTAGTCCCTCAGGTTAACACGGAGAGATATCAATTCAACAGCCTGTAAAAACCCAAGATGAATGAAGACAGACATCAAACTCCCTGCTCACTGCTGTGCTGAACGGATGTGCCATTCCCTGACTCATCCCCCCAGAAGCAAGTAATGTCTTTCACACGGACTAGGCGAGCGTGTGGGTGTGGAGGATGCGGGTGCCAGTCCTCCGGGAGGACTGTGTGCAGATCTCAGAGACGCTTTATCACAGAGCTACAGACTGGGGCTCGTTTCCTTGCGCACGAAGAGGGGCCGATTCCCCTCCTCTTCCCACCCGAAGCCCCTGCAGGGGCCCAGCCCTACCTGTGGCTGCACTTTCTTGGCAGCAGCTGCTGCCGCACTGGTCCCGAAGCACCGACACCTCCCTCTCCAGCATCTCGATGCGGCTCAGCAGCTCCCGCAGCACCTGGGCCGAGCCGGTGGCGCATGGGCAGGCCTTTTTGGGGAGGTTGATCCTGTGGGTGACGGTGACCTGGCTCTCCGGGTCGGAGGTCTGGCCCAGATACTCGGCCGGTGCCTCGTCTTCCGCACTCACCTCCTGCTCGGCCGAGGCCTCCAGCCCCGAGGAGCAGAGGCTGTCCAGGGGCACGTTGATGTTGTACACGTGGTTGAAGACCACGGGCGGCTCTTTGTCGGATGTGTTGTAGCTGGCAATGCCTCCCTCCTCCTCCACCGCCGGTCTCTGGCCCCTCTCCGTGGGGACCTCCAGCTGACACTCTGTGGGCTTGAGCATGGAGCCCAGAAGAATCAGGTTGACGCCAAGGAGCATGTTCTTCAGGACCACAGTTTCCCCGTCGGCCCCCATCCTCCGTGCAGAGCTCTGGGTTCAAGACCGGCCCGCAGCTCACAGCATGGAGTTGTCGGAATCTGCAAGAGAAACAGGACTGAAGTTACCTCTGAGACCTGCGCCAGGTGCCATGCTGTGCAGAGTCCTGCAAAGCCCAAGGACAGGCGGCCAAAGACTTTCAAGGGGAGGGAGTCTGGGAAGGGACGGGAACTACCAGGGTCATAAAAGCCCAGAGCTTTGTCCCCTGAAATGGACACTGCTTCCAAAGATTTTCTGCAACACAGGAGACCGGCCCCCATGCTGGCAAGTGGTTCCAGCAAAGAGGGCCTGCGAGGCGGGGGCCCGGGCTCTGTGGAGAGTCTCTTTCTCCAAAGAAAATTCAGTGCTTCTTTCCACTCCTGGGTGAGAATTAGGATGAAGGCACCGTGGAGCCTCAGGCGCACCCTCGCATTTCCACAGATAGTTATTATGAAGGACACCCACCAGCCTCTTCAAAATAACTTATTAACTCTTCCAAGCTCATCTCTTTAATACAAGTCGACTTGAGAATAACCAGCCAGGCAGATAATATAGTTCCCGGTAATTGTGGCTGTTAATAATCCTTGGGTACACGTGTGATTATCTGGGACCGTGCGGGCTGCACACGCCTCTAATCTTCTCATTAGCACAGTCCCAGCGCTGCGTGATCGGGGCTCCTTTCTTCCGAGGTCCTGCTTAAATTGCTAAACTAATAAATTAGCTCCTCTGCTGGTTACCCAGTCACAAAGAACCACAAAGAACAATATATTTACTGTCATGCAAATAAGGTTTAGGGAAATTATATTGCTTTTTTATTCCCCACATAGAGGAGAAAAGAGGCCCAACAAAGTTGGGTTCTAAAGGTGGCTTTAAAGCTACTAAGAAGATTAAGGTCTAAGGGCTGATGAAGGGAGAGTAACTGTGAGTCCAAGGATGAGGCAGCAAACGGAACATGTACTGAATGTGGACTGTGCACCTCACACCTGACCTACTTGGCCCTCAGAACATCCCTATGTCGGAGCATTAGGGTTATTCCCATCTTAGGATGGAGGATATTCTGCCCAGAGATGTCGAGATTGGAGATCAAAGGTTAAGAGCTGGCTCTGGAGTCAGACTGCCTGGGTGCATACCCCACTCCTTTGCTTTGCTTTCTATCTGTGAGTGGTAGATCATGTAGCTCTTCATGCCTCAGTTTCCCCATCTGTAAGGTGGGGATCATAAGAGGACCCTCCTTATGGAATTGTAGTGATGATCAAGTTAGTACCCGTGTAATACTTAGCTAGTACCTGGCATTCAGTGAAATGCATAGCTGTGGTTTGTGGACAGGCAGAATAACTGTTTGGTTCTTGCCCTACCCGGATCAGATATGGCCTGGTCACCACTGTCAGGACCTTGGCTCTCACTGTGGATGCATGGTCACTGGTCACAAATACCTCTGCACACCAAATGTTTATTATGACCTAATCCCAGCCCTTGAGCAGCTCTCAGTCTCACAGAGGAGATGGAAACACAAGTAGGATAATGACAGTGTAATGTGCTCATGACCTTGACCAACAAGCAGGAGGGTGGAACAGCAGGAAATCCACTCAGGGGATGGGTGACCACCAGTGCCGTGGGCCCAGTGTTCCTGGGCCTGGCTTCCAGACACACGGAAGGACTATATTGTCTAGGACTATATTTTTGGGCCTCCTGCTGGTTGGGTGAGGCCATGCCACTAGCACTGGCCAATGAGTTCTGAGGGGAAGTGAGGAGTGTCATCTCTGGGCCGGGGCATTATTGCCGATGGGTGACGCTCTGGGCTTTATCCCTGCCACAGGGAAGTGTTCTAGATGCTGGCTGCTTTCTCTGTCTGGGTCCCGGAGCTACTACAACCAACTGAGAGCCCCTGCTGCGCCACAGTAGGTGGCAGTGCGTGAGAGAGAAGTAATCCTCTGGTTTCTGAAGCACAGGTTTTGTTTTTGGTGTTTCCCACAGCATAACCTAGTCTACCAGGAGATATGTAATATCGAACTGGATTTTAATAGATTACTCTTTAGATTGAGAAGATAGGGTTCATTATACACAAAAGAAATTGCATGTGATAACCTCTGATATGTGCTAGAACGTAAGATAACATAACATAGCAACTAACATGGCTTGTTCAATGAATGCAAGTATTTGAAGGGATGTTAAATGCTAAGGGATTTGAAGTTTCTATGACAAAAGGTTCAAGCGAGGTAGTTTCCACCAAATAAGGGGAATCTATAGGAAAACATATTTTTGGCTCCATATAAAGAACAGTTTTTCTAATCATCAGAGCTACTGGATTGTCATGATAGGCAGTGAGTTCCCGTCACTGGAGGTATCCAAGCACAAGCAGCTAGACTACTACTTGAGAATGCTGAAGATGGCCTTTCAAGCACCACATGAGAGACTGCACTAACAAGAATGTTAAGGTCTTCTCCCGGATACTTTTCGAGTTCATGCATTTGAGGAGTGTGCCCAGTGTAATACTGTGTTCAAGGGCCGCCATAACAAATTACCACAAACTGGGTAGCTTAAAACTACACAGCTTTCTCACATAGGGATGGTTCTGGGCACTAGAAGTTCAAAGCCGAGATGTCATCAGGGTTAGTTCCTGCTGAGGTCTCTGAGGGAAGGTCTGTCCCATGCCTGTCTCCTGGCTTTTTGGTGATGGGCGAGACCTTCTAGGCCAGTGGTTCACATCTTCCTAATGCCTCGACCCTTTAATACAGTTCATGTTGTGGTGACCCCCAATTTCATTGTTACAAATTGAACATAATTAAAGCATAGTGATTAATCACAAAAACAATATGTAATTCTATATGTGTTTTCCGATGGTCTTAGGCGACCCCTGTGAAAGGGTCGTTCGACCCCCAAAGGGGTCGCGACCCACAGGTTGAGAACCGCTGCTCTAGGCCCTCCTGGGCTTAGAGATGCATCACTCCCACCTGTGCCTTCATTTCCACATGGCCCTTCCCTGTGTCTCTGTGCCATCACATGGCCATCTTCTTTCAAGGATACCAGTCATACTAGATTAGGGACCCATCACTCAGTATGACCTCATCGTAACTAATCACATCTGCATGACCCTATTTCCAAATACGGTTACTTTCTGAGGTGCCGGGGGTTAGACTGTCGGCATATCTCCTTTGTGGGATATGATTCAATCCATAACGAATGCCATTGGGCATTTTCACCAGACACTGAGCTAAGCATTTCCCTTATAATTTCATTCATGCCTGACAACCAACTTATAAGAGAGAGAGGAGTGATATTCAGGAGTCAAGAGAGTAACTGGTGTGGCTCCGGCAACACCCAATCGGAAGAGGCATCAACCAATCAGACTGGCTGTAAACAACCAGCAGGGCTCCGTGGTGATGTCACTATGATGGTAGCTCCTCTTTTAATTTCCTTTGTTTGAGATGAGGAAAAAACAAGGTATTTGACCAAGACTGGCAGCTACTGAAGCAGAGGAGCCAAGACCGAGGCTGGTGTAGCTGCATGTAGCCTGTGCTCTTCACTGCTGTTTCTCCGCCGCCTTAATTAGTGGCCACATGCCATTCTCATGAAAAGACTTACAAATCAACATGCTCACAAATCAACACTCTCCTTTCTTGGGATCAGACTTAGGACTTCCTGACAGTGATGACTTTTAGCTTAATGCTTTCTCTACCAATCCTGTCTCCCACCTCCTGGCGGGAAGGCTGGTCTGATGGTGCCCGGCCTCCTGTGTCCTGGGAATCAAAAGCAATTCTACACCAGCAAACCTTGATCCTCGAGGAGTTGGGAGACGTTCTTTAAACGTGCCCTTCCCCACCGAGCCAGCAGTTACAGAAAACTGGGGCTGGCACCAGCAACCTCCGCTTCATTCACTTCTCTGAGCTCCCTCCGGTGTGTTCCCACCAGGCCGTCAACAGCCATTGTTAATCACACCACAGACTCTCTGCCTCTCTCTTGTGTCTCCACATTTCGTTTAGGTTGCTTTTCTGCACAGACAGAGCAGGTGGGATGAATGGGATGAGGGGCCTCATTTTCCTCACTACTTCTGACGCCTGCTGAAGGTGGAATGAAACCAATGCTTATTAATGCCCATGATAAACGTGCCCTTGGTTCTGCCGAGCTCATGTCACTTAGTAATTGTTTCGAAGTGACTTTTCTTTCTTGTGTCCCTGGCTTCCTCCCCTGCCTCCACCTCCTGTTCCTTGTGTGGCTAAGGATGCTCACTGCTCTGCAGGCCTTTCTGTGGCACTTTTCAGCAATGCTGTGGGTAGGTCTTTGCAATGTCCCCTGCCGAGGGCCTGGTCTAATCCCATGGTTTACCCTAGTGCTGCATTTGCTACACTGTCTCCTTTAGAGGGGCCCCACCTGCTCTGAGACCCATGACCTGGCTTTGGTGTGAGGGGGTGTCTGCATCTCTAAGCTAAATGCAAATCTGTCACCAAAAACCACTTGGGAGGCTGGAAGGGACCAGTAGAGCCGCCTCCTCTCCTCTCACTGTCTTCCCGTCTCTCAGATGCATCACCTGACCACAGCTAGGAAGACTCCAGGCCTAGAAGCAAGATGGGCCAGTCAGAGATGGTGGGAGGAGGGGAAAGGAAGGAAAAACAGGAAAGATGGAGGGGGGAAATGGGAGAGCGCCAGGCTGGCGAGAGGAGCAGCCGAGAGTTCTGTAGGTAGAGTGAGAAAATATAACCCTGAGGGACAGATAATATACGTGGGCTTCAATGATACACTAACCGTGGTGAGCGAGACCGATAGCTATTGACCCCACAAACGCGAGTGCAAGGGAGGTGCAGTAATTCGATAGATTGATACTCGAGAAATCCTGGTGGTGCCATTGATTCATTTCCAGCGCTCCAGCTTCCTTATCAATATAACTACTGTGGCGGCACTGGGGTGTCTTTGAGGAATTTGTAAGAGGCAGGCAGATGGCAGGATGGTCCTGGGGGCTGGGGTGGTGCCTGGTTTCTGAAGGTGCCGTCCCCTCTGGGAGGTCA